TTTTTTGGGTTCTCGGCTTGATGCGTCCTTTGAATTGGAACAGTACTTGGTCTCCGACTGATGATGTATCACGAGTACACGAGTCCACGAGAACGCAAGTACGCACAAGTACGCACAAGTACGCACAAGTACGCATGTTGAGACAGGGCCTCAGAATCTCGATCAGCTGCAGTAAAATGTGAAAAAGGATGCAAACAGGAAACGGAGAGTGTCCCCCTTCAAAGTAAAAGTGGTGCCTTTTTGAAAGTTGCGGGTGCAGCAGTAAGACAGGTTTGCCTGTGTATCCATGTGTAATAATGAGTGAAGGACTAATGAAAGGACCAATCACAGCTCAGTGGTGAGAGCGCCATCCTGCTGCTTCTGGACGTGAGTCATTCTGACATGAACTGAAGGTAATCACTTTGATATTTTGCGACTTATTACTTTCAAATGTTTAATATTTTAATTCCAGTCAATTAAATGGAGCCGTGCTTCCTGCTGAGTGCTGCTGCGATGATTACCACAGTCGCATAAAGTGAGCGCAGCCTTTGTTTCCCGTCACTGTTTCCTAACAACTCGCTCTGTGTCTGAGTGTGTCTGTTCTCTCCGTGCCCATTATCCTCTCAGCTCCCCCCGCCGTCACCAGCGTCGGGTTAATGAGCGCAGAGTTGACATGACGGCGTTCCCCGGATCCTAATTGAAAGTGTCAGATGGATCGGGACCCCTTGTCGAGACCTAACGACACTTTCACAACAAAAGCCACAATTTCAGGTGTCAATCCAGAACTGCGCTCTTTTTTTTTCCCCATCACGCCGCCGTGCCGCTGCGGTTTGATTGACAGCCAATGACCCCATTTAGCAGAAGCTTTGTGTGCTTTGAAACCTCCGGCGGTGAGAAGGAAACCTGCTCACCTGAAGCTCGCAGAGCGCTCTGTTCCCCTGGGAGGAGCTCAGCAGGCGGCACCTCTGACACGTGGCGCTTTCATCATCCAGCAAAGAGCAGTTTTGTTAGCGAGGACCTGGAAACGCCTTCATCTTCTCACTGCTCTGAAACAGCCAATCACCTCAACTCTGCTGTTAGCTTTAGCACAGGTGCCCTGAAGGCTCATTTCCAGCTCCAGGCTTTCGTGCCGGGACTCACTCAGGGCTAGGGATGGGTATTGTTTAGGTTTTATCGGATACCGGTGCCAAATCGGTACTTGTGGAACGGTGCCGGTGCTTGTAAAATGATTGGCTAGAATCCAAAGTGTGTGACATCTCAGGAAAAAAAAGCACCGAAATAAAGCAGAGGTGGATAAAGTGTTGAAGAGAGAGGGAGGGTTGAGCAGAAAGGTCAGAGCATGGAGTCAAAGATGGCGGCAGCGACGCCTCAAGGCCTGCAGACGGGTGGATTTATGAGGACCCGAGTCGCCTAGCGTAGCCGCTGCACTGACAGTGAAGTACAAGCTGAGCGCTCTCAGCTCGCTACGACATCATCAGTACAAAAAGGAACTCATTATACATTATGGCTACCACTGCAGGCAGGTCAAAGGTCACGGCCCGCTCAGCTGATCTGTGTTGTCATAGATGAGGGAGTGACAGAATGCTTTATGTCTGCTGTCTGGGATTTGTAGTTTAATCTTTTACTTTGCTCCACACACTCAGATGACCTCGCTGGAGCAGGTCGGGGAGGAGCTGGTGGGTCAGGCTCGCTGTCCCTTCGAGTCCGGTCAGTCCAACGTGGGACTGTTCGCTGGTGAGTCAGCTGTAACTGGGTCAGCGGCGTTTCTATCCCAGCACACACACAGAGAAAAATAGAAAGTGGTTTCTGTTGGATGTCCAAACGAGGACAAACGAGGCCGGGAAGAAGTCTGAAGGTGTTTGATGTGTGGAGATCAAACAGGTGTGCTTCTTTATCATCCCGTGTAAAAATGTGACACCTGCCATGTTTCTCAGGTGGAGACTTCTACTCGGCCACTATGACGGACTTCCTGGCCAGCGACGCCGTCATCTACAGGAGCCTGGGCGAGGGCCGCCCCGTCCTCAGGACCGTCAAATACGACTCCAAGTGGTTGCGAGGTGGGTCACAGCTCCATCGCTCGCACGTTCGGATGTCGTGCAGTTTGTTATCGCACGTAACTCGAGGGTGTCGTTTATATTGGTGTGGCTGACGTCTCGCACGGCTCACGTAACGTGACACGTTCCTGTGATCAGAGTAAACGCCGCACGCGTGAGCCAGTCGCAGGACCGTGCAGTGGCTGCAGTGTGACGGTGCACTGAAAGCAGCTGTTACCAGCTGTAACCATGGCAATGAGCTGATGCTCAGAGCGAAGGTGACACGTGACAGACGTGATGATTAATCTGTCCTCCCTCTGCAGAGCCGCACTTCCTGCACGCCATCGACTACGGGAACTACGTCTACTTCTTCCTGAGCGAGATTGCAGTGGAGTACACCACACTGGGCAAGGTAGCACTGTGTGTGT